AACTAACACCATCGGAATAATCGAAGATAATATTCGAAAGAAGTTCAGCGTGTAGCAACGACGAGGGTGCTAATTAAAATCGATAATAATCAATAATGAAATGTTCGTAGCCAATGACACCGTTGTAACCGAGAAGCCACGATGTTCGTGACTTCGTCAGCTTATACGCCACCTAATGTGGTTCAGTCATGTATTGTCCAAGGCAGCTGGATATCCTGACGCAGCTACAAGAGACATTACTTTACAGCCGGGGCCTTTAAGCCAATTTCACGTTGGGTTTCTTCGCTCTAATACTCTCCCGACCACGTGACCGCGTGCACGGCGATTGGTTATTGTTTACGATTGGTAGGTTCGCGGCAAAGGTATCGAACCATGAAATTCACAGACAGGGCGTTCATTTTATCATTGGAACGAGATCATGATCGCCGGCGATAACTGTCATTCGTCGGCGGAATTGACAATGCTTTCGAAACAGTCGTGGAAAAAGATGTTCGCGGAACGGAGCATCGATCTGTGAAATTGACAGGATTCCAGTATTCTAGGTCGTAGATCCTAATTGTTCGTTGTTTTCAATAAATAACGGGTCGCAGAAGACACTGCGATCGTGAGGTTTGTAGCGATGAATTTCGTTTCGAAGTTCTCGTCGCGATGGAAAATTTGTGAAATGTAAAATGAAATGTGAGGGAAAGTAGGGTAAAATGGAAAGCTTTTTTTTTGAATCGTAATAATAAAATATCTGGAGCACTGGACGCGTGAAGTCTTTTTTGCAAATCTTAAATAGAGCTTCGGAAATATGGGAATAAAGGATTTTAAGGGAAATGTTTAGTTGCGAAGAAAAATACGATTTGAAATCATATGAAAATACAAAATTTGTATTTCTACTAAATCAAAATTGTTAGCTGAGTATAGTTAATTGTTAGCTGATATAAATAAACGATATAATTTAGAAAAGTATTTAAAATTTGAAGTTTAGCTTTGGATAAAGAAATAACGTAAGTGTCAAAAATACAGACTAAGGAACGTAGGATCCACTACTGTAGTTATCTTGTTCAATTTTTTAACCGATAAGTTAGAAGAAATGTTTTAAACATCTCAAAACTTATTCACTGAACATCTTTCCAACACTATTAATCGAAAAATATCTCATCCACTGCTCTGCAGTCGATCTCGAAGTACATCGAGGACTTATTGGAACCATATTATGCGACATTAACTCCATAAGAGCTCTTCATCTACGAAAATGATTATTGTTTTACCTGACTTTTCCGTTTTCTCCCCTAAGTATCGGCGAAACTACGATAGAAATAAAATCTGTTACAGCTGAACATTGCAGATGAGTTTTCTTTTTAGAAGTATGTGAAGTAAAGGAACGTTTCAGTTGTGGTTTCATTTCGATCGAAATTTGCAAAAATTTACAATTTAATGGTGTCCAAAAGCTAATTAATGTACCTTTACAATTCATTATTAGATAGCAGTAAATAAATGAACCCAGTTTTTGAATGATTATAGCAATTACTGATACGAGTAGCTCACTAAACGTAAAGTAGAAAACGAACAAATGAAACTAATTTGATTAAAAAAGAAATAACTTTGAATTAATTGCGACTAAGAAAAACTTCATTTCTGTGCAAAATGGACTACATTTTCATTTTTAATTCTCACGTCTTATATGGAAAACGGGGTTAAAAGTATACTATGAAATTAATTAAGCAACTGAATGAAATAATTAAGATAGAAAACATAGTTAAAGTCTGTATGATATTTATGGTGATAAAATATATTAATTAAAATGAGCATGAAAATAATTTCTCATTTGATACTGTTCATTAAAATAATACTGTTATACCGTTTTAAATGAACGACAATGGAATCAATTAAGTAAAAATTTGCATTACACTTACTGCAACGAGAAAGTTACTTTTCAATGCCAGTCGTATTAAGGTAGCAAAGTTAAGTCGAACGTTACATTATTTGCATACGTGGAACACGAGTGTTTGGCAAAACATAGTACTTACGGTTCGCTGTGCATTTAAAAGTAACTCGCGGCAATTTAAAATGCAGAATCACAGTTTCACACACAAACTATTTTATGAACGCGAAACGTAACAGGGACTCGTACATTTGATGTACTTCACGCTGTTGAACATAGTACTATAGTGCAATAATTAACATCAGCACGTGCACGCTAAGATTATGAAATTATCTCTGCATTTGCATATTCCAGTTTTATAAAAACCTTAATTGTTGGTTATTGCCTTTCGAGGAAAGAAGTGGATGTACACTATAGAAATTTATGGATTTTTGTATAGTATTCATTTTCTCTACCTTACAACGTTTACAAACAATTGTTTTCCCGAGATTTTCAGTTCGTGATATACATTTAGAAATTTTGTAATTAAACGAAAGAGACCACTTATTTACACGATAACAGGAATTGACGCCTAAGCAAATAACTTTTAAACTGTTTCTGAAGCAATATGCAAAAGTATTTTCTAAGCAGCATTTATAAAGAAATAAAGTAATTATGATTACGTTAATTGTTAACTAAAAATTAATGTATTTTGGTGTTCAAGGTAATAGATATTTTTTACGATCTGTAAATGTCTTGATTAATTTCGCATTATAAAATGACACTCAAACTCATGTGTGGCTTCAACATTTACGTGGCTTCACTGTATATTAATATAGTGGGAATACTGCTCACACAATAAAAAGTGACCATTACAATTTTTCCTGTAATAGTATTTTTAGAGATTTCTAGGAGTAACCACACTTGTGACATATTTTTAATGTACTCTACCAGACAAGAAATATTTAATACGAATATTGTTCAATATAATTTAAAAAAATTACTTTATAATTTAAAGAAATTACTTCATTGAAATTATTATGTCTCCTCTAAACCGATATTAAAGTTGAAAAAGTATTAAAGATTTACTGGCCAAACCGAGCTCGTTCGAACGAATCCTTATTGCAAAGCAATCTCAAACTATTCTCGGAACTTATTACATAATAGTATTAAGAACAGCAATTCACAACTTATTCGTAATAATACTAATAACAGCTATGTGTATGACACTACTTGGTATCGAATAAGTTGCGTACTTACGTTGCAACCAACATTAATTTTATTCAAATTTGTAATATTAATATTAACTATTGAAATCAAGAAATGTTTTAAATGTTCCATATTTTTTCAAAATTATAAACTTATTATGCTTTGAATAATCTTCATACCTTTCAACAAATTCTTTTCAACGCTCAAAGACTGTACCTTTCATTTTGTTATCAGTCCATTAGCATACAAAACGTGATGTCAAAGATGTTCATGCAAGTGATCACTCACAAGTTATCTTTTTCGATAAAGGATGTGAAAATTGATAAACTTGTCAATTTGTTATTGATATACCGAAGAAACAACGGAGAAAGTCTTTATGCTGATTTGAAGAATCTGTTTCAAATTACAAACTTAATGATGGTTTTCCTTCTCAAATGGTTATTCAATCCATAATTGACTTATCCCAGATTGTAGAATATCATAGTAAGCTTTCTGTAATTATATTACATTCAGCCAATTCTATTGTCCGACGATTCTTCCATTTATTGATAAGTAATGACTCCATTAATTCTGTATCATTTTATTAGCAACCAATTTCTCTTATATACAAATGGTTTGAAAATTACTTGTTAATTAAGACTATCCAAAATTGCTCCTATCAAAGTGTGCTACCAGTTTCAAGTACTGAAAGCTTGCAACTTTTAAAAAAGAATTATTGAATTTTATAATTCACTATTTTTGACATATTTAAATTATTTAATTATTTAAATTGTCTAAGAAATACATATATATATTTTTTATGTGTAATTATTATTATACCCTGTGTGATCTTTCTTTTAATCCCTTGCTCTACGATATATTTTTCAAGTATGATCGAAACAACTACATTGCCATTAATAATTCATTGAAAAGAGAGACAAATTTTAGATAATAATTGATAACAGAGGAGTAACATTTAATTCGAACTCACAAATAGTGAGTAATATTTTTGTTTATTAAGTTCCGTTTAAAATCTTCCCCACGAAGCTCAGACGTCAGTCACAATAATGTTATCATGTTAATTACAATAATCTATATATTATCTAAAACGAACTGTATTCGAAGAAAGCTACTGTTCTCGTAAAACGACGAATTAATTCGTACCGGATTTCAACCCCCTTCTCAGTACAAAAAGTATTAAATTAGCATTGCGTTTCTAAGTCAATTTCAGTTGTGTCGAGGGATTAATATCAAGATTGCGAATTAAACTGACAGAACTACACGTGGCATGGTCTTCTTACGAGACCTATTTCTGCGTCCGAAGTGCGCCGGTCTTACCGAGCGCAATCCTATTAAGGGGTTAACAGGTATCTGGTTAGAAAACGAACGACCCAGTCGTACCTCGTACCTGGCCCAGTGAGCAGTGTTCATTAATATCACTAGCACTTAAATGTGGCAACGAGATTTTTGAAATCCCGATCGCCAGGAACAGTTGCGGAAATGGGTGATATAATCGGTTAGTAACGAATCGTGTAACGACGACGTTCGTGCACCAAAATATTTCGATAGTGTAGTGGTACCGATCGAAAAATAAGAATTTCCTTGAAATATCCGATGAATGATCACTTTCGCGTAGAAAGTGCACGTTAAACGACTGAAAAGTTTTAGTTATCAGTGAACCTTAAATAGTTTGTAATAAAAAATCAAAATTCTATGATCGTTAAAGCTCATAGCTCCCTCGACGTGAATAATATCGAATTTTATGTTAAGATAACGCTAGTTTGTACGTGCTTAAGGGAACAGTGAGTAAAAATGTAATATTTATTTGATTTGCTGAAAAGGAACCTCGTAAAATGTAAATTTGATTATTATAAGAAGATGTAATATTGCGTTATATAACGGACTTTGCGGGCTTACAGAAGACCTCTTCTATGTGTTAAGCGAATTAGGAACCTAGTTTCGAAATCCGAGTTGCCCACAAAAACTATATTTTCTTGGATCAGCAAACGTTACTAAAACTTTTATTTAAATAATATCTTTAACAGTAACCCTTATATCCCTTACTTCGGTTTGTTTGTAATTAGTGTAACTGAATTTTGAGTTGCCATTACAATTAAATATACATAAATAATTTGCTCATCAATGTACTCTTTGGTCCGTTCAACGTCAGTCGATACACGTACATACGATGCATCAGTGACAAGTTTTCTTTCCGCGGTAAACCGCAACTTTCTACAAGAATTCACTTGGAAATAACTTCACCATTCCAGCTTCCGCTCGTTTACTGCAAAATTGCTACTAACTGGAAGGTGTAAAACATTATTATCGCAATTTTCCCATTCACTATCTATAACGTGCTCGATCCGCGCCAATACAATCTCTCCTCTCCAATTAAGAAGCATAAAAATCACTTGTGACGTTTACGCTGTACTAATAATAAATTAGAAATACTGGGCAGGAAATATTTCCGATAATGGCTAAAACGCTTCGAGTAATTTATAGCATCCACGTTGAAATTACTTCTGCAACATCCTTTTCAACTTATAGGCATCAAGCGCAAACTGTACCCTAGGCGTGCCGATAATTCACTGTTTATTACAACATTTAATACCTATCCCTATGAATATTAATACTGCACAAAGAATATTAACTGTCCATCTTGAGAAGCCTTAGCCAGTTTTAATAAGCAGAAATAGGAAGACGTAAACTATTATCGACGCTATTATGAGGCGTTAAACCATAGTATCCTCATTGGAGCGCTCCGAACAATTAAACCCTCAGCGCTCAAAATTTCAATCTATTAAATTTTCTAATACAGTGATCAATTTACTTTTCAAAATCGAAGATAAAGATACTTGTTTGAAAATTGATTCGAAACGTACATAATTCTCATCGATTAACTTTAAGTTATCGTGTTTTAGAAATGACTGGTGGTGGGACCAACATGGCGTACCACGGCCTCAGCCAGCACGTAAATTTCGACGTGATACCGGACCCCGGTGATCGTTTCGTCTTGGAGGAATTAATCGGCGAAGGAACGTACGGAGAAGTTTATTCCGCGCACTGCAATGAAACCGACACCAAGGTTGCGATCAAGATACTGGAGAACGTCGCGGACAATATCGAAGAGATCGAGGAGGAGTATCTCGTGCTGAGAGATTTGAGCCTTCACCCGAATATCCCCGTCTTCCACGGTCTGTTCCTGAAAAGAGCGAAGCCGGCTCAGGAAGAGGATCAATTATGGTTTGTCATGGAGGTATCGTCGCTGTAATTCTCGTATCATGGTACAGGCAGGAAAGCGTAACTGACAAATAACTTAATTGAAATGTAGCTTATCGGTTGGTATCTTAAACGCCAACACTGTTTTCCTGGATATCTATCATCTGCGAATTAGTTCGAACCCGTTATTCGAAATCACCGTGTTTACCGAGAACGTAAATGAAAGTTTTCGTAATTCCTATTATTTATTCGCATCCCACGATATTTATTGTTTCTTTAGTGTTAGGCACCAGGAAAAGTTCGTTCAGGTACTTAAATCTAAATTTGTTTAACACTGTACTGCACTTCTTGAAATTTCAAAATTAATTCTCTTATTTAGGCGTGTATTCGGAATTGACTTTTCGACTTTTCCCGTACAATTAACCATAGGAAATGCCTAAAATTCAGTTTAGAAAATATGATTAAAATGGGAAAATAATTTTAAGTTAAAATCTTGAAATAGTGTTTATTTGTTTAATATTAAATTTTAGTTTAATTCTAAATTCTTTGATATATATTTCATTGTTTGTAAGACGTCTAAAAAGTAGCTTCAAACTGTTAATTATATAGAAGTAAATATTAAGTACCGGAAAAAGTTCGTTCTGGTTGTTAAACAAGCTTTTTCCAATATCTAATACTTAAATAAAAATGATTTATTTTACAAATTACTCGATCATTTTTATTTAGTTATGTACTGGAGGATCGGTGACCGATCTCGTGCAAGGTCTCAAGAAAAGAGGAAGACGTTTGGCGGACGATCAGATATCTTACATCCTCAGAGAAACAGTGGAAGCTTTAATTTATTTACATACCAATCACTGCATGCACCGTGACGTCAAGGGGCATAACATTTTGCTGACCGAGGATGCGCATGTTAAGCTAGTTGATTTCGGTGTGTCTTCGCATCTCACTGCAACGCTTGCGAGGAAAAACACTTCGGTTGGTACGCCATATTGGATGGCGCCTGAGGTAAGGTATAACGTTTACTATATTTTCCACATTTTTATAACTACCTGTCCAAACAGTTTAACTCTTTCGCGTGCCCCAACATTCAGAGATAAAAATCTGAAAGTTGTTTATTATATATTGCTGTGTAAAATGGTCTATATATATTTCAAGGACATCCAGAGTCTCTTATTTTATAGACCTTCTTTCAGAAGAATATTCAGATTTTTATGTTTCATGCTTCATTTATTTATATTTTATAAGAGTCTCATGAATATTTACAGTTAAAATGAGTATAATACATATTTGAATATAAATTTTAAAATAACACTGTCAAAAATTGTCATTAATCACACTTGATAAGTAATTGTTTTATATAAAAGCTAGAAATTAGGAAATTTATTTCCATATACTTAAAACAATTTAACATAGTATGCCTTCGAATCATTTCCAAACATTCTTCAACATGTAAACAATTCTTCCTACTCGTAAAACGAATTAAATTTTATACGTTATAAAAATACGTTCCCTGGAGGTAATAGCTTTGACATACTGAATTTCAAATAGGTAATAGCCTGCGAACAACAGTTGGATTCTTCCTACGATTCTCGTTGCGACGTGTGGTCCGTCGGCGTCACAGCCATCGAGTTAGCAGAAGGCGACCCGCCTCTGTCCGAATTGCACCCGATGCGAGCGTTATTCCAGATCCCGAGAAATCCACCTCCAGCACTGAAGAACCCGGACATTCATGCGCCGGAGCTAGTGGACTTTATTACGGAATGTTTGGTGAAAGATTTGGAGCACAGACCGTTCGCCAGCGAATTGAGGGAGCATCCTCTGCTGATTAACATCGAGACGCGCGTAGAGCAGATCCGAAGCGAGCTTCAGGAGGAGATTCGAAGACAAAGAACGGAGGGTCGCGTTCACAGGCAGCCGGAAGTGACGACCAAGCATGGGAAATTGAAGACTGATCGAAAAACCAGGCCGGAGAAAATGTACATGGACGACCTGGCTGCGTTAGATATGTTATCGGAAGATGGGATTGTGGATCAATTAGAGCACAGATACGAACAGGGTCAAATATACACTTACATCGGAGATATTCTCGTCGCGGTTAATCCATTTACAAACTTGGGACTGTATACAGGAATTGTGAGTATTATCATAAATATCTAAAGATCTGATTTTTAAAAATTTTGAAGTCTGGGGAAAGTTTCGTACGATATTCGTGAAAGAAGTTATGGAAAAGGGTAAGAAGAAAGGAATTAATGTTATTCTTAAATTCACAAATATTTTTTTGCATTTTTCATGTTTCTTTCATAAAAATTGAGATGTCTGAAAAGAATGTATTTCCTCATTTCAATACAACATTGTTTTTAAGTTGTAAAAGTAAATGGAATAAATAAACCAAATAATAAAAATAAATAAGAAGTAAAGACATAGTTTTATTAATATGTAGAAACGATTTAAATAAAGTCAGATATCTTAGAATGTATAATATCGTGAATAAAATCGTTCGTTACATTATTAACAATAATTATAATCGGTTCTTGGTTAAATATATCGATTAACCAGATTTTACTGTTTGCACCATGGAAATATTTTTTACAAGAATTTCTTTCAACTGTTTAGGAACAAAAGCGGTACAAAGGTCAAGCCAGGTCCGACAATCCGCCTCATATTTTCGCAGTCGCTGATGCTGCGTACCAGGCTCTGTTACATCAACGACAAAATCAGGCGATCGTAATTAGCGGTGAATCCGGGGCAGGAAAAACCGAGAGCGCGAATCTGCTGTTGAAACAATTGGTTTACCTGAGCAAAGCTCCTAATCGTAATTTAGAGGAGAGGATTCTTCAGATAAACCCAATAATGGAGGCTTTTGGTAACGCGACCACGGGAATCAATGCAAACTCCTCGAGGTTTGGGAAGTATTTGGATTTAACGATGACGAAAGGTGGCAAAGTTACCGGTGCCAGAATATCTGTTTATTTGTTAGAACAATCTCGCGTAGTGGCCCAAGCCGAGTAAGTAATCCGAATTATATACTAGGAACTACTAGTAGTTGATATACGAGCTTTTTAAAACCAGAGTGCTCTGAGAAGAATTATGTCTCAAATAACAAACACTTAAAGAAAATCAAATGTTTTTATAAACACTTAAAGAAAATTAAAATTAATTAAATGTATTGAGCAGTGAACTGCGGAATTTAGTTTGAAAAATCTTTCGTTGCGCGCAATGAAATCAAATACTAAAGTATACTCGTCAAACGCAGGGCAAATGAATTTATAATATATGTTAATGTAAAACTAAAGTGGAACGAAGAAGAAATACATGTTTGAAAAAGTAAATAATTTATCGTTGAAAAAATTAGTACCATTTTGCGTTTTACCATGTATACTCGTCGAACGCAGTTAACTGGTTAACTCATTAATGAATGAAATAATCTAACATACAACTGCTAATAAATTAGTATCTAAATTTGAAAATATTTTGTAAACATTTTTTGAATTTGATCGAGAGATTTCTGTTTGGAGAATTTCATTCCGACGTTATAAAGAAAGGAGGCTCTTTACTCAGATCATTCTCGTTTGTAACGGCATGTATAAAATTGTAATCAATCTGTTATGTGTGACTTAACAAAATCATTTCAGAGGCGAACGGAACTTCCATATATTTTATTATATGTACGATGGTCTGGAGGCGGACAACCGTTTATCGGAATACTATCTGGACACCAATCTCCGAAAGCACCATCGGTACCTCATGGACAACAGTCAAACATCCCAGACCCACATCGATAAATTCCAGCAGTTGAAGAACGGATTCAAATTGCTCGGATTCCAGGATAGTGAAGTAGACACTGTCTACCGTATTCTTGCCGCAGTGCTTCACCTCGGTGATATTGAATTCGGTGAAGTTGCCAGCGAAGACAATACCGACAATAAGAGTCGTGTCATTGATACGGCACCCTTGCAGAGAGGTAATTAAATTTATAGTTCATTATCATAAAGTTATCAGCTAAATATAAAATGCAGTGAGGGTGAAAATAGACTTTTCAAATTTCCTTATCACTTTTGACAAATTTAAATATAATTGTAAATACGATTAAATTACTCTTGCCAAACAAGATTCATTTCCATCATTAATTTATTCTTTATAATAATGAATTTAGTAAAGATCACTTTTCCAAAAGCAAACATTGAGGTGTCAAATGTTTAATAAAGTGCTCTTCTAAATATCCAATGGTCACGTTTTCGTTGTACGGTATCAACGACGAGTTACAATTATTGGAATATGTTTCAGTTTCGCAATTACTCGGTGTCGAGGAGAATGATCTTCTGGAAGCGCTGACGTCGAACTCGGTTATGACCAGAGGAGAAACAATCACGCGAAACAATACGGTGGCTGAAGCCTGTGCAGCGAGAGACGCCATGGCGAAAGGACTTTACGGTCGATTGTTCGATTGGATGGTGAATCAGATAAATTGTTTGCTGAGCTTCAATCATGCTCCGAATTACGAGCCGCTGGCCATCGGTCTCCTTGATATTTTCGGATTCGAGAATTTCCCAAGGAACTCCTTCGAGCAGCTGTGCATCAACATCGCCAACGAGCAGATACAGTATTACTTCAATCAGCACATTTTCACTTGGGAGCAACAGGAATACATGGCGGAAGGGATACCAGTGGATCTGGTTGAATTCTCGGACAACAGACCTGTCCTCGATATGTTGCTGAGTAAACCTATGGGGCTGTTGGCTCTCTTAGACGAGGAAAGTCGGTTCCCTAGAGCTACGAATAAATCCTTAATCGGTGGGTTTTCTTTTCTCTTTAAGACTAAAGCTACCAGACGAGTGAAAATGATCCATTCCTGATTTCTTTTTGCTATTATTGAAAATATAACAGATGTTTCTCTGAGAAATTATTGGAGAAATTAATGTAGCAATGCGCAAACTGAAGTGGAGATCGATTAAAGTCTCAATAGATGCAGTCTTGCAGTTTCTGTAGAGGAATTTCAAAAAGTCAATTTAACTTGCACTATGATTTCAGTCTCAATCATGGCCGACACAGCTTGACATTAATAATTTATTGAACAGAAAAGGAAATTCTAGGCATATTCTTTACCTGTCTGCTGTGAAGTATAATCATTGATAACGAATAATATTTCGTTTGAGTTCAAAAGAATTAAGTAATATTTGTGCTTGTTAAATTCTGTTGATTATGTAAATCTTCACGAGTCTGATACATTACTATAGGAACCTGAATTTTTGTTAGATCAAGATGATCCTTTTATTACATCTGTATGCCCCGTGTATGTTGCAGAGAAATTCCACAACAACATCAAATCGAAGTTCTACGTGCGACCGAAGTCGGACGCAGTTTGCTTCGCTGTTCACCACTTCGCAGGACGCGTGGTTTACCAAGCGGAAGGTTTTCTAGAAAAGAACAGAAACTTCCTGCCTCCTGAAGTCATCCAACTGGTCAGGCAATCTCAGTACGACATGGTTCGCTTCTTGTTCCAATGCCCGATTACGAAGACCGGTAATCTCTATTCAGCGGTTCACGAGACTGATTCAAGGAAGCTATCGCCATCGAATCAGAATACGAAGGTATTAATGAATTAAATGTTTCAAAATATTCATTCAGCTGAATATAAAGCAGTATGATTATAAAAATAAGGTCATTATTTCTATTAACTTTATAGTTAGTTTAAGCTTCAAATTGTTCAATGATATAGATTATATCAGTCAATTGTGACTCATTTAGGAATTCTTATAAACAGTAAGTTAATACATTGTTCCACTGAAAGTCATTTTATAAGAGTATTACATATTATTTGATATTTTTAGAGCATACGTAAGATTATAAAAAAGTGAACATTTGTCAGTTTATTCCCATATATCATAGATTATTCGTGTACAGAACACTAAAGAACTTAACTTATAGTATTCAACACATTTTAAAGTAGTCTTACTACTTCTACATTTAAAATCTAAAATCGAATCAAAAGTTATGTGGCGTTGACTACTTGCTAGATCTAATTACGGTACAAATAAGATCAAAATACATTATACATTCCTGCACCGAAGATTTCTTTGCAATTATGTGTAATGCGTTGAACTGTTTCAGGAACGTTATTCGAGTCGAGGATTAGCCTCGCAATCTAGAGCTCAGCAAACAGTTGCAACATACTTCCGCTATTCCCTTATGGATCTGCTGCAGAAAATGGTATCAGGGTCACCACAATTTGTGCGCTGCATAAAACCAAACGACTCGAGGAGCCCCCGATTTTTCGATAAGGAGAAAGTCGTGAAACAACTGAGGTACACCGGTGTGCTGGAGACGATAAGAATTAGACAGAACGGCTTTTCGCATAGAATACCGTTCGGCGAATTCCTGAAGCGGTACGTATTAACATGTTCTATATTCGTTCTGTCTTTTCGAGATATCCCAATCATCGAGTATTATCTTACACGACGAAGTCTTCTAAGTGATTATTAACACGTTGAATACCATGGAGGTCACCGGTGAGCCCCAATCGAAATATAGTTCAGTCAATTAAACGATGACTATTTGAAAACATTTCTATATTATTAATAATGCTATCGAATGCGGCAACATTCAGCTAGAGGAACGTATAATAATATAATTCAATCAAACAATTTAATGCTCTATTCTTTCATTTTGTGTACTTTGTTCTATAAAATTAGGCATTCAATGTGACACTAAAAATACTGATTAGTAAATTGTCTTTTTGAAATTCCTCTGTAGAAACTGCGAGAGTGCATCTCTTGAGACTTTAATTAATTTCTTTAACAATATCCGGTACCTAATAGAGCAGGTATATTCATAATTCGTATAATTCAGATTCGCAGGCTCGTAAAGTAAGAAATGATCGTTTCTAAATTACAGATATTGTTTCTTGGCGTTCGGTTACGATGAACGAGTGATAGCAAATCGCGACAATTGCCGACTTCTCCTCGTTCGTTTAAAGATGGACGGATGGGCGTTGGGAAGAACGAAGGTCTTCCTTAAATATTACCACGTTGAGTTCCTTTCTAAAATGTACGAGGAGCAGCTCAAGAAAATCATCATGGTCCAAGCGTGCGTGCGTCGATGGTTGGCTAGGATCAGGTTCAAGAAACAGAAATGGCAGTTCGCCGTGTCGGTTGTCACACTGCAACGACATATTCGCGGGTGGCTGTCGCGAAAGCATTATTTGCAGGATCTGAAGAAGAAGCGAGAGGAGGAAGAAGCAACTGTTCTACAAAAAGCGTTAGGTAATTATGCGACAAGTGCAATAAATCTTCCCTTTGGTGAAGATTTGAAATAGGATCTAACAAACATAAATATTATTCAATTTGTATAAATTCAAATTAAATATCCGTTGATATCAATGATTATACTTTAGCACAAACGTTGAGACAGAATGTGCTTACAATTTTTCTCTTATTGTTAATCAATTATTAATAATAATGTAGTTAGATCGATCATGGTTTTAAAAGACTCTTCAGAAGAAAGATTCTTCAGAAAACGAGTAAACCAGAAGTAATCGATTAAAATAATTTGTTAACAGAAGAACAGGCGAAGAAGGCTGAAGCTAAAGAAACTGAAGGAGAAGAAGGAGAAGAAGAAGAAGGAGAGGAAGAAGGGGAAGTAGACGAAGGAGAAGAGGAAGAAACCGACGACAAAGATGATTTGAAGGAAGGTGATGCTGCGGTTATCATTCAGAGTCGTAAGTTGTAAATTTGAGCACAGTTAAATAGTCTGATTTAGAATGAAGCTTAATCTTTTATTGTGGAAAGCTGATCGAGAAAAATGAAAGTTAACCATTCGATGTTCCCAGATTTCAGAGGATTCACTATTCGCAAACGTTTCGGTGTTGAACTTGAAGAACGTTTCAAGAGGATCTTGAATTACTATGATGATAAATTCGAAGCGCATAAAGCGTTGCTGCGAGAAGGTTTGAAGAACGAAGATGCTGCATTTATCGTCCAGCGATGGTACAAGAAGAAGGAGAAGGTTAAAAAGCCGAAGTCACCTGTGAAAGACTTCGTGCATCCCAAACTCCGGCAAGCTGATCTCATACATTTCTCTCAGAATGTAAGTAAAATCTTCTTAAGCTAGACTTACATCGCTCGTTTACAAGTTGAAGTGTTGACTCCATTTTTTAAACTTTTCCTACTTTTAGTGTCACAGCAATTTGTTATGTTTTAATCAATATTCAAGATAAATTGTCTTGAAAATTATACACATGACAAATTTTTTTATGAATTCATTGAAAATGGTTTATGATGGTTGAATTCGATAAAGTTATTTAGTTTCTATACATGGTAGCACAAAAGCTACACGTATAATAATCTATCTGCAATATTTGCTCAAATATATATACTTTTTCACATATCATAAAATATATCAATAAAAAATAAATAATTATGAAGAACCACATTATATCGAAACCTTGTTAGACAGAGCAACGTTAAACCAGGTCTTACTCTGCATAATATTATTAATTTCTTATCCATTTTGTAGTATTAATCTCAACGTAAACGACTTACACACAGTTCAAATTTCGCGAGAATAAAATCGGAATTTTGTTTTATTTTATAAAAGGTCCACATGAAGAATCAGAATGTGCATAAGAACCTGCGCCGCAACAAACCAGGGGTCCGATTAAACGACGTCGACGAACCACCCCCCGATTACGTTCGACCGGAAGGATTCAACATGGTGCAACCGATTCTGCAATATCGAAGTGGCAATCAAGTGGAAGGAGAGGATACCATCAAGTATTATCAAGATCTGAAGAACGAGATGAGCAGGTAAATAGATTTAGCGATCTGCTATAACCGACTGTCCGTTTTCACCTTCCCCCCGCGAATGGGAAATTCGAATGCTGAATTTTCGAATGCTTTTGGCACTCGCATCGGAAGTGGTTCGGACTTCGAAGACGACGAAGTTGGATGGGACTTGCCGTTGATACAGCTAGAAAATGACCTTCACCCATCAAGGTACATCGTAAATCTCACTCGAATTGATCGTAGATCATTAATCTCTAAGTGGCTGAACATTCGCAAACATTTGCCTTCGCTGCTTGATGAGGTTTACTATATTATAGATGCATTAAAAGTGCACCACGAATGCATTACGATTTGTGTGTACTTATGTATATACGTACGAGATTTTATTGTTGTTTATAACTTTCTGACGTTTCAACTTTTATAGAATTATTATTACTATGTAATAGTATTAGGAGTATATTTATATATTTCTCGTGTATTTAACTTAGGCAACCAGATTTTAATTTTCAAGTTCTTATTCCTTAGTTTAATTTCATGTATCTTTATGTTAGCGTACCCTTATGTAGTTTTAAGTAATGTTTAGAAGTGACGTATGTAAAAAGTAGCAATGTAAGGCGCGTACAGAACGTATTGAAGCGTAACGCTTCAAAATTTTGTGCTGAGACTATGACACATTTTATTTTGTACTCATACTAATATTTTGTTTTGTACTAAGGCTATGAGACGTTTTATTTTTCTGCTAAGATTATGAGGTATTTTATTTTGTGCTGAGATTGAGACATTTTATTTTTCTGCTAAGATTATGAGACATTTTATTTTGTGCTGAGATTGAGACATTTTATTTTCCTGCTAAGATTATGAGACATTTTATTTTGTGCTGAGATTGAGACATTTTATTTTTGCGCAGAGGTTATGAGACATTTAATTACAGGAGTCGAATGGGTCAGATTCTGGAAGTGAACGTCGAGAGGAGAGAACGCCTGGCAGCTCAAGGCGACTACGCAATAGCCCCGGAACAACAGCTGTCGGATATATGGCACAAAGCTTTGACAAACCCCGATTCGACGCAACAGCAGGACGCGAACCAAACCAAACTGAGGTAGATTCAAATAATCACTACGATCCAGTCCCTAGTTCCCACCTCGCGTATATTTATATTCTAAACATTTACCGCAAGAAATAATCATTTAATCACTTGTCTTATTTTATCGTCGTCATACTGTAATAGGCAGCGAACTACGATTGAATTAATAATGTCAATTTAATAGTTGTGTTACTAACTCTTTATTATGTTTCTACACTTTGCCAGAGGTATCATGGCAAACTTCCAGGTAAAATTACACACTTACGCCGTTTGTAGATTGTATCATATACATTTAATTGTATTAAAAATCTCCTAACATTGCCGTTATGTACTTACTTGTACATATACTAACGATAAGAGTGCATTTTTGTAGAAATTAACGAGCATAATACTTTATGCATTTCTTTTTGTAAAAGAGTAGATGATAATGATTTAAAAACTATTGAAAATGGGAAAGTTAACTTAGTTTATAACTTTCTTATTTTCATTAGTTATTTAATAATACTTATACAATACTCCAAAGAACAAAATAATAATTAAGGAAACCAATACTTTTCTTTGATACATTACAAAGCACTAAAGAGATTCGCCATATTTCAATTTCGACCAATACTACAAATACGAATACATAATACGTTTCACTTTATTTCAAAAGCTATCGAAAATCCAAAGTAAATTTAATAATTATTTTTAACGAGCAATAGTTAGATCAGTAGATGGGCTAGATGGAAGTGTGCTTTTTACTTCGACACCTTACAATTTTCTATCAAATTCACTGAAACATTATCATTGGCCAATAACTTCGAAAACATCAGTGTACAAATGTATCGGAACAATTTATTTGGAAGAGGTCCTCTTCTTTCAGTTCAAGGATTAATTACGTGCCTAACAACATGCAGCCCCCGGAAGTCAGGCAACGTAAGCAACCTGGAGTCAACCCTTCGAATATCAACGATTCACATGGCTTACGATCCAGATTCATTCACAGACAGAACGACGTAAACGAACGCCAGCAGCCCGTTAATGGCCACCATCGTGTTGTCAACGGAGGTGCCGTAAAGGGGCACCAGAACGAAGTTAACGGGCACTCGAGTTATACGAGCAGTCATCCAAATTACGTTAATGGCCAGGCGAATAAGTATCACAGTCCTGCGAACGGACACGAAACATCGATTAACGGCCATTCGAATTCCGTTAACGGCCATTCACCGGCGAACGGCCACGCGCTTAAAGCGAACGGGTATCCCTCTTACCTGAACGGATATCAAAACATCATCAACGGCTGTCAGAACGGTTTGTTTATCAATAAAATGGTCGCGAACCAATTAGACGGTCACAAACACGAATCGAAGAGGCAGACCGTACTAGGCAACGGCGTTAAGAATAACATAAACGGTTGCAAGAATGGCACAGGAATCGCGAGTCGAAACGACGATTCGGAGAAAAAACGACCGGTCGACGTGGATAGTAAAAATGGTATAAATCGAAAGGTTATCGATCATAACGCAGTTAACGGTCGATTAGGCGGTAAAAAGGAAATAGGGAAAGACACGTTCGGCATCCCGGTCAACCTTAGACAGCTTCTGAGGCCTACCGTCGTTAATAAGCGTCAGGAAATCATTAAGGTCGATTACGACTCGGAAGGTTTGAATGGCCCGTATAATTTTAGGCAGCTGTTGAGGCCAGCTGAATATCTCCCCACTGAATCCTTGAGGAAGAGGAAAGGCGGGCAAGCGTGCAACGGAGTTCCGGTAACGAAGGACAAGGTTCCTGAGAAACACGTGAAAAGAAGAGCACCATTGGCGCCCAATCAAAACAAACTGGTTAACGTGAAGAAGTAACGTTGCGCGATGCCAGAACGTTCATTATTTCTTAGATTAGACGATGTACGTGCAGTTAAATAAAAGATTCCGCGATGATACGAGAAGTTGGCCAGCACAGTAATTAAAGATATATAGGGACATAGTTCAGGAACTGAAATTTATCTTTGTTTATCGATTGTTTTGGTACTTTAGACATTTCTCGGTGACTCAATGCTTCTTGAGAGTTACGTAAGTTTTGATTATTGCAGGTCACTGTACCGATTACTTAAAAACGTATTGTCGTTAGAGAAACTTTATGTATTTCTGTAAGATTCAATTGAGTCCGTTAATTCAAGGGATTTTATATATTTTCTAGAGAGTTGTATGATTTTAATTTCCTGAATTGTCTGAACATCTTGTATGTGGAAGCAGCATTATTTCTATTTATACGTGGAACTTTTTTCGATAGATGTGCAATTAAATAGCGTATTTTTATTTGTAAATAAATTCTTGTATTTTTAAGTTTGTCTTCATTATTTGTCATTTATTTATTTGATCGAAAAATATCGTATTGTTATTTACGTTGTTGTAACTGAGAAAAATTATTCATTGTGTGATTCTATCTTGGTAATTGATTGCTGCTTCCTCTTAATACGTATTTTAATGCTAAATCTTATTTAGAACTAGTCATGTGTAGCTTTACAAAAAAACTTAGATGTGTTCGATAGCGTTAAAAAAAACTTTATTCTCCGAAGCTTCGATGATTTTACTGTGTGTTATGACATTTCCATGTAAGACAAATTGAACTTCTAATTTAAGATGAATATAATTGATTGTTCATTATTGTTCCATCTCGATTAATTTTGACAAAACATTTCGATCAGTAGGAATTACCGAATGTTTGTTAAAACTTTATGATTGTATATAAAATTCTCATAGGAACAGCAATAATAATATATTAAATCTATATTATGCTTTAGTCCATAAAGTTTGTTTTACCATTTATTCCAGTATCTAGATCGTAATTAAGAATGTTCTCGAAAGTTATTTTCATTAAAATCATGAACAATAGAAAATTCGTCAATGTTATCAATGTATCATTTATACGAAAGGATTATGATTGCAATAGTGCCTGAAGTAGAGTGTCAAAACCACTCTAATGATATTTAAAAAATGTCACTTTAACCTTTATATAAATATTAAAAAATACCTATAAAGGGAGCCCACATCCCAGCTCCATCCTCCTAATCGAAAAGTTTAGAACTTTATAACCTATCCTTTTACACTACTGACGCAATTTCCATCAAATTTGGTCGGAGTAATCTACTAATAGTGCTAAATAAATTGAATATATGGTTCCCTAATATACTTTATAAAAAAAGGTTATAATATGGTGAGTGAGAAACGAATTACACCAAATAAATAACAATCTATTCTCTAATTATTAGTATTAATATACAAATTCCTTAATTTAGTAATATATTGCTAATACAGTTTCGTCAATTGCTAATTTATTTATATCGATATATCTTCTGAATATGTCGTTCAATGCCATTTAAAAATTTTTCAACAAGTTTTATCATTGATAATTATCTTCAGGAAAGAAATTTAATTTCAAAATAAAAACGTACGCATTATAAACATTTATACTTTCAGAATTAACAATAAAGGGAGGGATAATATTGTTCCACTATTCAATTATGAATTCCCTTAACGTTTTCTACTTCCATGTAACACAGGTTGCTATCAATAATAGCACATTAGCCAACAAAAAAACCGATTGATATTGAAAAAATAAAATCTTATCTATTTTTTAAAAATTAAAATATATATAATTTAAAAATTATCTATTTCTTAATATCTAATGCTAAACCTTTATACCAATTTGAACCTTCGGCATAGTTACTTTTTAAGGCGCAGCACAGAACTTAAGCTGCTATAGAATCCAGGCAGTCTACCCCATACCACTATTTCCATCCTCTCGTATTTTACAATAACTATTTATCGCATTTTTAACTTTTAATAAGGGTTCCACCTTTATAATAATATCTAATCCAATCCTTTATCGCACAAGCTAACTCTCTGACTCTCATAAACAAAATAAACTTATACAAAAGTACACTCGAATTTCAGACAGCTATAATAAAGCAATATAACAAAGTAGCCCTAATAACATAGTTACGAAAAGAATATTACAAGGCAAGGGGTTGAAATGCATGAACCCTACAAGCGAGTCTGGTTACCAACCGAACTGAACTAGTTCCACCAGTGAACGCGAGATGACAGCGCAGCGCTCTTTACAAACGGAGTACCCATTCGTGAACGGAACGAGTTGCGCGGGTCTGGTCGTCGGGGAAGCGAGTCGCTGTCGTCGGCACATAACAGGGCGACGATTGGCCGGGCTCTCGCGAAGAGGGGTGCCTAGGGAAATAAGTGGAAAAGCTCGGCCGCTGCGAGGGAGTAGTGGTAAGGCACGAGAAGCGAGAGGGGTGCAACGAACTCTCTAGGCTCGGTTCGAGTCTACGGAGCGCGGAGTTGTGTTCGAATCATGGCGACACCCGAGCCCGTAGACCCAACCACCCTAGAGATTAAGACCCGTAGCATAGAACAGACACTACTCCCACTAGTAAGACAGGTAAGACAATTAATCGGAGACCGGAGTGAAGGAACGTTCTTGTGCTCTAATCAATTGATTCGTTTTTTATTTGAGCCGCTTACAGCTCCCCTAACCTTCAACCGCCGATAGGTTAAGGTTTTCCTGGCCCCGGCTTTCATCGTTACGGTTACGTTTCCGTTGCACGGCATTCGGCACCAACCTATAGAGCAATACCGTGCTTCTCTCTGTGTTTGTGTTCACGATCTTTGGTGTGCGTGTGGTGTTTTGCACATGTGTTCCTCCACCAGCCTCTACCTACGTACCGTGAACCGGGTGCATGTATATCGTCCGCGAGGAAGCGAGAGGAGCCGCGTATCCCGCGGCCGGGAAAGAGAGACGCGCTGAGGGACGGAGCGAAAAGCGTGACAGCGCGCGACAAGGAGGGACGTGTCGGGCCGGTCGGTTCGCGAGAGCGGGACGGAGAGTCGCGAAAGGAGCGTGGCACGCCGAGGGATTAAGGGTTACTTAACGGCGGAGAAGCGCGTAGGATCAACCATTAAATCGGTATCGATTCCATTTCAACGAGAACGCTTTCATCGTAACATCGTAGCCTTTACCTTTTGTTTATGGGCTAGCTTCTCGGATATTTGACAGTTCCCACGCGGAGCATGTGCTTCGTCTCATCGAGCGGCCGAGCTGCCACGCGCCCAGTGTAACGGATATTTTCGTATTTCTCCGCTCTCTCTCGCTCCCTCGCCGCGGTGATTTTTCTCTCGAGTTTCTCGTTCTATCTTCGCCACCGGCGGCGCACACATGTGCGCGCCAGCGTGTCCGCGGGGGTATGCGTGTATATTTCCCGCGGAAGTCACGTTACCAGCGTGCTTCGTGCCGCGGCGTCGATTTCGTGCTTTCGTAAAGTTATCACGAATTTTCTGTTGTGCAATCGCGAGACACGTGCGCGCACGGGCTCGCGCGTGTGTGTACGTGTGCGCGCACGCGAGAGCACGCGGCGAATGTCAAAGGGCGTTGAACGTTGAGCGTGAAAAATATTTTCGGCGAACTAGCGCGGATCTTCGCCGCAAATAAACGGATTTTACTATTTCAGATTGAGATTTTGATCGTTTGGGGAACTCGCGCCGCGACGTGAGGTTCGGTTGAACTTTGAGGGGTAACGTTGTATGAATGTCTTCCGCTTTGTTTACAATGTTGTTCGAGTGGAAAAACGATGTACATATATTTATACTATAAATAGTGCGGGTTATTTCAGAGGCGCGCATTGTTTTGTGGGAAACTTCGCTCGTCTGATTAATGGAACTCCGCGCACGTGACGTGCGCTTTGTTCCTTTTTTGTTGCTGGTACTAATTTTGGAGTACATAAGCGACCAGAGTGAATTTCGGTTCTTTTTAATTCTCGTGGGATCGAGAAAAACCAATTGAAATTCTTGTTCTCATTGGTTTTTGTGCCATTGTGCGGGAAATCGAATGAGATGATTTAAATGACTGACACACATATATGATAGTTTTAAAATTCAAGTGATTTTATTGTCAAGTTACTATGAACAATTAATATTTCAGGGTAAATGTTAGTTTTGCGTGCACTGTATTTTCGTTTCTGTGTAAATAAGATTTAATTTAGAAAATTTTGTGTAAGATCGAAAATAATAGTTTTAAAAATCAGAGGTAACAAGATAATTGATAGCATTTATTTTAATATGAAATATAGTATAAATAATGTTGGATACAATAGAAGAATTTATCGTTTTAATAATTATTAATCTTTTTATTCTCTTTAAACAGTGTGAGGTTTGTAGGCGATTCTGTATATTGAGCGTCGAATCGCGAGAGAACGTTCTGTTGACAAAGGAAACACCTATTTCATCGAACATGTATTGCTCCTATTTTTATTTCGTGTTATTGAGAACTGAAGTAGGTTGCACGGTATATTTTCAGTCTTCGAATCACGAAGAAACTTTACTTTGTCAGTGTTTGTTGATTGTAATATTCCTGGCTGTTTATAGAATTAATAAGCATTTGAAAAGAGACTTGTTATTAACTTTTATGTCTGTCTATTGTACTATAAAATTCGTTACAATCAAATAATTCATTAAATGCAATGCAAAATAATGTAGATATAGAATGATATTAGAAAACACGTACAGATATATCACGAGAGATAATAACTATCTGAAGACAGAAGTTTCAAAAAACGATGGGAAGGATCGGAAAGTAATTATTGTCTCAAGAACTTCTTAGAGTAAATATCGGAGCACGAGTTACATCGAAGGGTTACTGCCCTTTTGATCGAATTAAAGGTAACCCGCTTCCTCCTTGAAGCTTGTTTCAAAGCAGACGTGCCTTTAGAAGAAACCTGAGTCAGCGATCGGTTTCTGTCTTTGTCATCTTAAATCTTGACTACTTTGTGTACGAAATAATCTTCAAATACGAGACTCGATCCACAAAAGACATCGTTAACCAAGGCAGAAGAGCAAACGAACTGATTCGAGTGGATTCTTTGTATCTCAGGGTCCACTTAATTTAGTAATCAATAATCCCTGTTTCTCAATTACTTTTCGTTCAGCTATTCTTCAACGGTTCTTCGAATATTTATATACATCTCGTTAGTCTGATCGTTTAAACATTGAAATATATACCTACGCGTGATTATTTGAATAATATTGTAATAAATTACTTACCCTACGTCTATTAATATGCATAATAGCTGTAATTATATGTCTTTATTTGCGTGCTGATAATTATGAAGCACGCGATATTAGTAATTCAGAAGCATACACAGTTTTACTTAGGCAAAAAATTTAAAACGAAAGGAATGTAAACTTCTAAATGAAACAATGGAATTGTTTTCACTCGTTGAAAATTCCGTACAGGTTCGCGATGTGGACACAAATGCACAGTGCATTTCATATTCATGTATCCCCCGTATTCGTCCGATGTTAAATGCATTCATTCTTCTGGAAGTATTGTAAACAATCTTAAATTCTGAAACAATATTTGGAATAACGTAAAATGAGTTTTACTTCAATGTTGGTCCGTCACAAGATTGTAAAAACCTATTTGACGTAATGAAAATATTTGCTTGTATATTACAACTTTTATATAATTTTCTAAATTCTAGTTGTGCTTTTCAATACATTAAATTTTCTAAAGTTGATTAGATTAGAGTATTCTAAAGTGAACTGTTCGTTTAGATGATTTCATTTTGTGAACGAATAATGTTGTATTTTAATATTAAACTTACGAAAATGTGAAGTAGCATTTAGATTTCAATACAGTAGGTATAATAAATAATTTATAATATTTAGATTAGCACAGAGATCATATAGGTGAAACATATTTTTGAAATTTAAAATAATATCAATAATATAATAATAAGTGACGTTTAAAGTCATGTCATAAACTAAAACAGAAACATCCAAAATACTAAATAATATTTCTGTAAAACCCTAAATGCACAAGTTTCGGTGTCACATAAAATCAGTGACGTTAAACGTCACCTTGCAAATTTAACCCTGTGTACTCGAAGCTTTTTCTCACGGATATTACCAGCAACTCGAAGTAATTTAAAAAAAAGGCATACTGACATATAAATAAATGATACACGCATGAAAAGGAAAGTCACAGATATATTTTACTGTTGTTTATCTATTATATAAACGTTATACTATATTTAATGACAAAATTTTACGGTTTGTAATGACAGATTTTAAGAAATATCAAAAATATCAAAACTATGACATTGGATGCGATCTCCGAATGGTTCCCATTCGAAGTTTTTGGGTTAAGGGGTATCGATTAATCCGACGAAGCAATCGGCACCGCGTGACCGTGTTGCAGCGAAAATTATTCGAAATCAAAGGGAACTCGCGGCAGGGGATGTTGTATTAAGCGGTGCGCGGATATGTCGGTACACACGCACGCTCGCGAAAGAGCGCGGAATCTTTGTGTATTGGTTAAACCTCTTAGATAGAGAAAGTGCACGAGTGTCTGGTGCATGGCATAGAAGGCGATCGTTACGAACTGCAGCCACTTGTTAGAGCTCCGTCTAGCCGCCCCCTGGCTCTCCTTCTTCCGCACCTTTTCTTCTTTTACTTTTCCTTTTCCCTTACCGTCCCTGCCCCTCTCCCTGACAGAGACCTTCGACCTACACCTTTCGCGCAGACTTCTCCCTGCACTACGGTTTTAGAGTGGCTGGGTTGCGGTCAATGTTTTATTGACCATCGGCCGGTCGATTTGTCGGTAGACCGCTATCGTTCCGCTTGCAGCCCGGTTTCTTTTACGTTTCGCCGTTCGAAGTACGCGTTGCTTCGCATCGCTGACGTTGATCGATTGGTACATCGTCGTTCGCGAGTTTAATGTTTCACTGGCACATTAGAGTGTCGACGCTGTAGAATTAAATAATTTGTCTCGTTAAAGTGGTACCCGCGCGATCGAGATAACGGGCCGAGTACAATGCGGAAAGTTCGAAAGTAGTTTGAAGTAAAAGGAAAATGTGTAGGTTCTCTGAATTGCGTTATAACAGGGTTTTCGAAGCGTCGTTTTCGCTGATTACCGATTTTTGTTACTTTGCGTGGATGTTTATTAGAGTTGGAACTTTGTCGTGTTCGATTAGGATACTGTTTTTATGTTGCGAGGAATAAACTACCCTTTTTATCTGTATTATCTGATTTATTCGTGTATTTATAACTCATAGGTTGTCGAAAATATCGAGAAAATATGTATGAATCTCGTATCCTTTCTGAAGTTCTATATATTTCTTGAAATAATGATTCTGCCCTACGAAAATTAAGTAAAAGGGACGACTCGAATAGGAAGAGTGATCTTTTCCCTTGATTCAATAATCAGTTGTACAAATGTTATATATAAATCGAGGTGACTCATAATGAACTTTATAACTAAACATCTTTTGTGAGTGATACCTGATGCACGTAGAATAGATTGAAGATGTCACTTTTAGAATTGATTAAAAATATTACGTCTTTAATTGTGGATGTGTTAGGAGTGCAGCCTATTTGTCGACCGTC